ACATGTTCCCCTATCCCCTTGCAGTCAATGGAGAGCACAAAATGACTGCCTCCTCCTCCAGCCTTAGGAGGAGGATAATAAGACTACAGCTAACTATGCTGTCAGTTCTACCAAATGAAAACTCAGCTAGGGACTTCATATTTCTGATAAGATGTTTTCAAGCTCCATGCCATACATTACCAGCACAGCGGGGGGGGGGATTCAAGAGGGACTGCTGGTGAGGAAAATTCTAGTGAAAGAAGGAGGAGAAGAGACTGGATTTATACTCCACCCTTCACTACCCAAAGGAGTCTCAGAGTGGCTTACAAACTCCTTTCCCTTCCCCTCCCCACAACAGACACCCTGTGAGGTAGGTGGGGCTGAGAGAACTCTGACAGAAACTGCTCTTTTTCAAGAACAGCTCTGACAGAACTACAGCTTGCCCAAGGTCATCCAGAATGTGCAAGTGGAGGAGTGGGGAATCAAACCCGGTTCTCCCAGATTTGAGTCCGCGCACTTAACCACTACACCAAACTGGCTCTCACTGGCATAAAAGCAAAGCACTGCGTATGAGTTATCAGGAGTAAAAGAAAAAGCAGTAATGACACATTGCTAATCCAACAGGAACATCAGATACATTGCTGCAAGTTGCAACTGAGTAAGGAAAGTCAGGGTACAGGTGAGCAGAGGATAAAGGAACCACCAGCAGTGGTGGGAGAGGGGTGGGAGACACCCATCAAAGTATCTCTTCTTCAGATTCCAGCCCAGCTCATATATCTGGCCTCCTTTCCTCCTAGTTGCAATATGGGGAAACACTGTCCTGGCAAACAGTCTTGCTTCAGCCAGCAAAAACTAGTAATTGTAACTTAGAATAAGTATGCACTATGCAAAAAGGGGTGGCCCTGTCGTCCATGAACTCCCAAATTGCAGATTAGCCACCATTAGCTCATACAGGTGAAAGCAGTAGTGGGCACAGACACCTTCATGGGCACAGACACCTTCATGGGTAAATGTTGCTAGCCAAACACCCATGAAATCTTTTTTTTCTTGAAAATCAAACCTAGGAACATGGAGCCAAATGAATGTGTAGACAGAGTTCCAGCTCCGAAGAAGAAGAGGAGGAAGAGGAGGAGATTGGATTTATACCCCGCCCTTCACTCAGAGTCTCAGAGCAAGTTTACAAACTCCTTTCTCTTCCCCTCCCCACAACAGTCACCCTGTGAGGTAGGTGGGGCTGAGAGAGCTCTTTCAAGAACTGCCCGTTCAAGGACAGCTCTTGTCAGAGCTATGGCTTGCCCAAGGTCATCCAGCAAGCTATCAAGCCACTTCTCTGAATGTCCTCCATGCCCCACTAGGAGTTGCCAGAGGTTGCCATTACTTCCAGGCATGGGCACACACATACTTGCACACACACAAAAATGCAAAAATACCAAAACAAAAAACTCCTGACAAATGAGCAAGCCTTGCAGTATCTTCTAAAGACATCCAACAAAGGGGCTCCTCTCACTTCTTCAGGCAGCCCATTCCACAGAGTAGGAGCCACTATGGAAAAGGTCCAGGTTTGGTCACCGCCAGGTGGGCCACCATGAGTTGGGAGAACAATCAACAGGTGGCATTCTGAAGGCCATAGCTGGCACATGGAAACATATGGAAGGAGATGGACCTTGAGATATGTGACATAACCAGCACCTTAAATTGAACTTAGAAATACAATGCAGCTGTTTCAAAATGGAGAATGCAAGTTTCTCCTGGCTTACCCCTAACAATAATTGGGCTGCCACATTCTGGACCAGGTACAGTTTCCAGTGTGTGATCAAGGGCAGCCCAACTAAGAGGTTACCAAAAGCATGGGTCAGCATCGTCAAAATGGCTGAGTCTAAGAAAGGGGAGAGCTGGTGAACCAGATGCTGTTAACGGAAGACTGTGCCAACCTGCTTTTCAAACAGCAAGGCTGAACACAAGTTCTTAACCTGCTCTGCAAACGCTAACTCCACTCCCTCCAGAAGAAGTGAATCCAACCCCTTTAGAAAATCAGCTTTCCCAACCAACACTGCCTCAGTGTTGTTTGGATTCAGCTTGTTCTACCTTAGCCACCTGACTATGGCCTCAAAGCAAGAGTTCAGAGCCAAGCTTTTGGAGGCTTGGATGATGAGTGTCATTTGCATATTTTGTCTTTTCTTCCCTGTGTGGCCTTGTTTGCTTGGGAAATCGATGGGTATTTGCACACTATTCATATTGGTGCTGCCACTAATTTCAGAATTTTTCCCTAAAAAACCTACAAAAAGTCCTGGAATATGTGGCTATAGCTGCCAATTGCTGGGCTACTTGCTACAATTAGTGATTTGTGCTGTGTTGTCTTTGTAGCAACTGGGTTGTATTTTGGTATTATTCCCATGTAGTACCTGGATGGCCCAGTGTTGGGTGTTACAAGTCAAAACACTTCAGTATTTACAGGGTTAATGATGTTTGTTATGATCAACAGGAAGTCACATGTTTGTTTGTAACCAATCTGTTTAGACAATAGAATGCCAGGGAACTTTGGAGCTAACTTGCTAGTCTGATTGGAAACCAATGTGTCAAGTATTTAGCATATTGGCTTCTCCTTCCTCTCTTTGTTCTGACTAAGGAAGAAGACGCCGGCCATTCCCGTTTTACCTTTTAGCTGTAAGGATGTAGCCATATTAGCTCTTTGTTATTTTATATCCTGTGTACCTTTTCCCCATGTTAGGTTTTGTATTTTAAAACACACCATGGACTCAGTCTCTTAATACTCTGCTGACTTACTTAAAAAGAATCCCAACACCAAGCCTAGCCACATCATGGAAGCTAAGCAGGGGAAGCCCTGGTCAGTATTTGGATGGGAGACCACCAAGGAAGTCCAAGGTCATTACATAGAGGCAGGCAATGGCAAATCACCTTCGAAAGTCTCTTGCCTTGAAAAATCCTACAGGGTCACCATATGTTAGCTGTGACTTAAGAGCACTTTCCACCATCACCAAGTAATGGTTTGTCATTAAAAAAAATGAGCCCTGGAAATTCCAGGGCTAATGCACTCCCCTCCTGCCTTCAGGTGCAACTCAGAAATTAATCATCTGCTCTTATGGCCAACACAAAATTGCCATTTTGTCTAAACAGCAAACTGTGGCTTGCTGTATTGCCACCATGCTTCAATCCTGACTTGGAATCTTGGTTTAGAGTCAAGAGTTTAAACCATAATTTGTCATTTTATCTGAATCACAAACCATGGATTTCCACAAAAGCAGAAGTTATTAGTTTCCAAACTGCATGTGAGGGATGAGGTACAGATCCAATTAGTCTCTTGCTCTGATATAAAAAAACAAAGCAAGAAAGCTGAGATGACTGACTTCTACATGCAAGTGGACAATAAGGAAGACACCCGTGAGCAAATACCTTGGTGTTGTCATGGGTTGCCTTGGTAGTCCAAAATAGCTCTCAAGGTCTTATAAGGCATGTTTGCAATATCTTGGGCATCAAAGACCTTTTGGGAAGCTGTACTGTGATGACTACACATGTATGGTCATTGCTGTTTTGGGGGAGAGGGTCCTGCCCCCGGCCTTCTTTGTTTACAAACTTCCAGATTTTTGTGAAAACATGGGGGTTCCTATGGGCTTTAAGGCTATACTATATATGATTCACAAATTATGTACATCCTCAGGCTAGGAAAAAATGCAAAGAAACCCAGAGGAAATACTTGTGCTGTCAGTGGCTATGGGTTGTAATATGGAACCTGATGACACACTACTGATTTCTGAAGAAAAAGATTTTTGTATAGTACAGAATCTGAGTTACAGAGACAATACACATGAAATCCTGCTAGCAAAACAGTATAATAATTTCTTATGTGACATGAATGATTTCATTTGGCAAGGAAGAACCATGTAGAATGTTGACAGTCAGAATCCCCTCCCTCAATTGGGCAGTTTTTACCTATTGAAAATTTTCTAAGTACATTAAATCAGGATTAGGAAGCACTTTTCCCTGGTGGTTATTGTCAAACAATTTCTTCTGGAGTGGCAGGTGATCCTTTCTGGGGGAGGGAGACTGTGTTGTGTACTTTCCGTAAAAAAAGGAATTAGATAAATGGTTTTGGAGCATGTCTAGTTTGCATCTGAATGAATGGTGCCTCTATAAGAATTTTTAATTAAAACATATTCCTAAAGCATTCTCCCACATGCTTTTTAGAGGAAAGAATTCCCTTGAATATTATGGGAAGTAGAGCCACTCAAGGAGAGACCGATTTCCTCTATTTCATTCACAGACCCTGCAAGTGGCATAGAAAAGAACAAACCCTCAGCACAGAGCAGACCTATGGCTCACTGGCAGACCATTTGAGTTGAGTACACTGCAGAGGGGCTCAGGTACAATCCAAAGCATCTCCAGTTGAAAGAATCGGGTAGTACCTGCTGTGAAAGTCCAGAGACCCTAGACATTTGCTACCGGCTTTAACAGACCATAGGTTTGTCTCAGTCTACCTATATCATGTGCTGATATTCTTAAACTCAGGTTCTGGTACACTAGATCATGCCATGAACGAGAGGATATCTTCCACAAATAATCTACTCTAAGGAAGCAACCTCAGCCTCTGCTCTTTAACTCACACAGCGCTACTAAATAGTTTTGGACTGGAATAAACATGTCGTGAGCTGTCCTTATGCACCAGCCATTTTTGTAGCTTGCAGCTCCGGCTTCCAGTACTTGGAAGCTTGTAAGATTCGACTCCACCCGCTGCTGCTGCTGGTAGCAACTTCTAGCATTGCCTCAACACTCCACGTGCACGGGAGCCCAACCGTGACGCTCCCGCTCACCGTAACTCGAACAGAAGGCGGCACAGGGGCGGGGAAGAGTCTAGACAGTACAGAACGCGAGCGGACGCCCACCATCCGGCGCACGCGCGCAGTTGCCACCGCCGGTCTACTCGGCGCTTGCTTTTCTTTTCTCCCTCGATTTCTCCCCCCCCCGTCACGAAGGCGCATGCGCCCTTCGGTCCGGTCCCTCGGTCTGTTTGAACAGGAAGGCGGACATATTTGTGTGACTCTGCCCTCCTCGATGAGTTGCTGAGGCAGCGGTGGCCGCCCTGGGGCCTCATTCTCTTCTCTTCGTTCGGTTTCCTCGCACTGGGGAGGAGCGGCCCTTTCTCTTCCGTGGCGGAACAGGGCAGGGTCGTCGAGTGGAGCCCAGCCCAGGCAGCTGTGTGCTTAAACCCCCCCAGATTTGAAGCCTGGTGAAGTGGACGATTCGCAGCTTCAGTCAGGAAAGGAGGGGGGGGGGAGGGAGGAAAGGACGGAGCCGAGCGGCGGAGAGCGCCCGCGAGGACCGGGGTAGAGAGGCGACGAGGGGGAAAGGGGCGCGCGGAGGAAGGAAGATGCTTCAGCCGTGGCGCGGCCGTTGGTGAAGCCGCGCGTGTCCGGAGGGCAAGGCGGCGGCTCCTTCCCCCTCGAGAAGCGGGGCCGGGGCGGCCTGTGCAGCAGCTGGCATCTTCCCGCTTAGCCCCGCTGCGGCTCGGGCAGGGAGCGAAGCAGTGCCCTTTCTCGGGCCTGGGTCTCTATGGAGGGAGCAGCCCGGTGACGCTCTGAGGTTTCCTGTTTTCATGGTAGGCCCCTCTCGCTCGGCTTTCCTTCCTTCGCTGCAAAGAAGCTGCTGCTGGGGAGGTGGCACCGGAGGAGGAGCGGCGGCGGCGGCGGCGGCAGGAGGAACCGCTACGCTGGCTGCCAGGGCGGCTGCCTGGATGGGAATATGCGGCTGCAGAGACATCGGGGCCCAAGCTGGAGAAAAGAAAAGACTGGCAAGGCTGTGACGGGAGCCTAGGAGTTAAGGGGCAGCTGGTGAAGACTGTTCCCTGGAGAGGGAATAGGGCCGCTGTTCCCACTTTCGGCTCTGATTCTCTGTTTTGTGTGATGATGTGCGGCGGGGGGAGCATGAGGGACAACTGCTCTGCATCCCCATCTCCGCTCTGATAAGGTGGGCTACACAAGCCGGCTCAGGGGGAGCCCCTGTTCGTTTTTGCTTTTCTGTCGAGTGAGGCGACCACCGTTCGGCACCATGTCGATAGGAGAAAGCTTTGAATCTCGATTTGAGAAAATCGGTATGATGTTAAGGGACCCCAAGTCTGAAGTGAACGCCGATTGCTTATTGGTGAGTTGCATGTGCTCCTGTTTAATACATAAATAGTACCTCAGGCTCTCCTGGGAGAAGAAACCTTCTTCAATGAATCTGTTAAAATGTCTTTTGGTGATACAGGGTTGTAAATGTGATTTCAGATATATTTTCCCTATCCTACTGTTTGCAATTCGTATGCATGGATGGCCTATTACTTTGCTTTTACTGTTTGAGAAGTTGAAGGTATAAAACAGTTAATGTTCTGCTGTTGTAACACAGAGAATCCCTAATGGATAGCACTTCTTTCAAGGGCATGTATGTTGGGTTTTTTTTTTAAGGAATGGTATTTCTCAGATAGACAGAAATTGTAGGTAGCTGATCTAAAACCTGTATCTTTTTATTAGAAAAAAGCAAAATATCAGAAATCAGTTCTGAGAAACTCAAAAGCTTATATTAACTATTTTGTAATATTTTGGTTATTGCTGAAAAAAGGATTAAAAAACTACCATTCTTATAAAATATGAGTGATTTACTATACTTAACATATTGTGTGTAGTGCAAAAGATAAGCTGTCTTAAAGGTTATGATACTGAAAGTAAAAAGCTGCTGTTTTTATTGTTGGGTTTAATGCTGTGGCACAAACCATAGTGTAACTGCTGGTACCAGAATCGTAGACATCACTTAATTCTGCTTAGCTTTCGGTTGATTTCTTTAGAGTATCTCTTAAGTGGTTTGAATTCTGAGCTGACGCAGATTGAACAATGAGTCTCTTCTTTGTTAGTAGGCAGTTCCTTATAAAACTTACATTGTGAGTTCTCGGAAGATGAAGACTGCTACTAAGGCCCTTTGGCAGAACCTTGTCATGTCAGCACTCTAGCTATAAAGTTGTAGCTGTAACTATAAAGTTTTAGCTTGTTCTAGTTTTCCATCATTCATACAACTTTAATAGTAAGTTTTGTTCCTCAGAACTTAACTGCTCAGTGATTGACTTCTGTAGTTGTTCATTTGATAAAGAAAATACATGTTTCATCTCTATTGTGGTCCTTCCCAGTTTGCCCAGTAGTCTCAAGTAAGTGGGTTGTTTGGATGCTAGCGGTGAGTCTTTTGAGGTATAACTGAATAAAGGGGTTTGGCCCTTAACATGAGTAAAGGCATTACTCTCCAGGTGAATCCTTTTGAGTAAAATGGTAACCTGGCCTTATTATAAAACTCAGATTAAAAGATTTTGATGACAGGCAGTTACAAACATTGCCCTGTTTGGTGTAAGAAATTTCACTATATTATAAAAAATGTAGCTTTTTGAATTTAAACAGTTTTTTCCTATTGGATCTGTACATGTGAACTTCTCAGCCTATGATAGCTATGATTCCATCTTGGTTTAGCTGTGCTGCCACAGGCCTGAAGTACTAATGCAAAAGCAAATGTGATGAGCTGAACTCAGATCTAGTTTTGGCACTTAATGAAATAGGGCCATGTGATTAGGTCCTTAGATGTTGTTCATTCTTGTTTTGCTCTCATCGTAAAATAAGTTACAGCTGCAGAATATGCAAGTGTAGGGATCTGGAGGCTATTGTGGCAAAATAAATACCATCAAAATATATTAAGGCTTTTTTCAAAGACATATAATAATAGAGACTATTGAAGACTATTGACAGCACACATTACAGAGCCAGTTTGGACCCTTACAAAATTTTGTTAATCAATTTTATAAGCAATTAAAATTTTCATTGCTGGTTGACAGTGAATTATTTTTAGGTCCATATGGTTGTAACAGTACACAATTGAGGAGGAAGTAGTAAGATCTGTAAGCATATTTTTTTTTATTAAGGGTATTTGGTAGGCCAGACATTTGATTTACATCCATCCATCATAGTGGTATTATCTTCTCCTTTTTAAAATAAAATTAGGGTTCTGTTTTATTGTTGAAAAAGAAATTTATAAAGCTGATTCATAACACTGGCAGCTTTGAAGAAGTCATATAGTGGAGCGCTGTTGCTAAGCAACAGTCCCATGTATCTTCAGATGCTTCTTCTTTAGAATGGGGCAAACATTCTCTCTCTGCTCATACGGCTATCACCTTAAGCAGAAATTAACAAAAAATTAAAAATACCTTACTCAGTATTATTTCTCTTATTTGATTATTGCACCTATTAATTTTGCCACTGAGAGGGTGACATGATCATTTGTATCCAACAGTAGCCATGACACCTGGGCTTGCACATTTAGCAATTTCATATCTTTAAGAAAAGGGATGACTAAATTAGCCCTCAACTTGTTGAATATAAGGCAGTCCATAATCATATGTTCGATGGTTTTGATTTTATCATATGAGCATCTGCATGTTCTGTTAGAGTATTATACTCTGTTATATCTGCCCTCCAAAACCGCTGAGGGATGGGGCAAACTTAAATGTAGCCAGTCCATGTGGAGGGACATAACAAATAGGTCTACTATATGCATCTGTCTAAACAAGAGTGTTAGCATACCAGCCCCAGCATGGTACTATTATGCAAATATTTAAGAACGTTTATTTAGTTTCAGAGGATAGCCATGCTGGTCTGCAGTTAGAAGAACTAGACTTAGATCCAGTAGTACCTTAAGAGATCAGCAAGATTTTCAGGGTATAAGCTTTTGAGAGTCCAAGATCCCTGAAAGGCTTATCCCCTGAAAATCTTTCTGTTCTCTAAGGTGCTACTGGATGCAAATCTATCTCAGTTATTTATACCCCAATTTTATCCCCAATGGGGAAACAAAGTAACTTACAATAATGTTCTCCCTGCTTCCATTTTTATCCTCACAACCCACCTGGTGAGGTTTTTTAGGCTGAGAGAGTGTGACCAGCCCAAGGATATACAGTGAGCTTCCATGGTGGAGTGGACATTCAAGACTCCAAGATTTTACACCAGTACGCTAACCACTATGCCACACTGGCTCTCAAACAAGAGTAGGTTTCTGCATCAGGTCTATTGTCTTATCAAGTCTAGAATCCTGTTTCGCACAGTGGCCAATCATGTGTCTCCAGAAGCCTTGTCAGTAGAACATGGATGCCAAGGCTTTCTCTGCTGTTGTACTGAAGCACTGGTGTTCCATTTAATATGTTCATGAATTTTTAAAACCATCAAAGTTAGAGTGGCTATCACTATGTCCCATGGCAGCAGGTTTCTCAAATTAGCTGATGTGTTTCTAATTATTTGGCCCCCCGGCTGTGTTTTCTCTAATCAGAAAAGCCATAAACTTCTTAACTTTTTCTCTAGATATGTAAAACCTCTCGATATTTTGAAGTCATGGGGAAGAAATGTTTTTTCCCCAAGATTTTGGGAGACTGAATTTTTGGACAATATTAAAATATATGCAGTTTGCAGTTTGATATGATATACTTTCATTTTTGTCAGACAATGGGAAGAGAATTACATCCTATGCTTTCCAACCAGTATTTTGAGAAAGATAAAAATGCAGATATTTCCATCTTGGTGTTATCATACAACCATCTAAATCTACAATACAACTACTTTGACACATACACAATCTATGTTTAATAGGGACCTGGTGATACCTGCTCTACAAATATGCTGTAGGCATCTGTTGGAGTCTCAGTTGCTTTCCTAATACTTGGAAAGGTTCTGTAAATAACAAGAAATATAATGATCTTGGAAAGGTTCTGTAAATAACAAGAAATATAACGATCTTATACAATAATTGCATAGCAATAAGAAGACTGGTTATTATTTACTTCTTTATCCAGGCTTACATGAAACTTATAGCTCTTATGAAGCTTCTGTTAAAGCCCATAAGTAATTACCTGTTTTGGGGATATCAACTAGTGCTGCTTTTTATCAAGTCAGGTCTGGGTCCAGTCCTTCAATCTCAGTTGCTTATACCAGTGTTTCCTTGGTAACCTAGAATCCACCATATCTGCTAATCTGCACCAATACTGAATCATTCTTCTTTTTTTTTTTTTGCAGTCAAGTCGCAGCTTGGTGACCCCCTAGGGTTTTCAAGGCAAGAGACATTCAGAGGTAGTTTACAATTGCTTGCCTTTGCATAACAACCGTAGTATTCCTTGGTGGTCTCCCATCCAAGTACTGACCAGAGCCAACCCTACTTATCTTCCAAAAACTAACAAGATCGGGCAAGCCTGGGCTATAGATAAAACAGAGGAGATACCTGTCTCTTCTTTCAAGATACCTGCTGGAGATGCAGGTGAAAGTTTTTAAAAGAAGTTATTTTGCATAATAGGTCAATATTACCCATTCTCCAAATATCAAATCTATAATCCATTTTAGCAACTGATTTCTTCACATACATTTTTTTGGGTTGGTTCTGCTAACTGACCACCTATTCAATAGAAATCTCAGGATCCAAGCAAGTTCTCCAGCTAAATTGTTAAAATGTATCCCTAGATATTTAAAAGATTTAGGCTGTTCTATGAGATGTCCATTTATATTTCTTAGATCTGTTTCCAAAAACCACTACCTTTCACCTGTTTCACCTTACTCCTGGTCTTCTGTGTGGTTGATCTCCAAGTTTTGGAATCAGCTTCGAATTGAGTGCTTTTTTCTGTACTATTTCCTGCTTTGACTTAGTTGTTTTTGTCTTCACGCTGGGTCACAATCCAGTTTTAACACTTGAGGGCAACAGATGTCAGCGATGTCATTGCTGCCATTAGATCGCTTCCCCCCTCTTTTTTAAATTGCACAGGCACACTAGCTATACTGTGCTCTAGCTCTAAATTGAGATGGATCACCCAACACATCGCTTGTTTAGAAAAAAGAAACAGCTACAACATTGTTACTGATCATGTGTTATCCTTTGCTATTTTGAAAAACGTGCTGATGAAAGTCCATTGCAATAAACACAAATAATAGTGTGATATGTACCACAGAATAACGTGAAAAAAAAATTCCTCACTGCTGGTTACAAAAATTACACATCACCCCGGGCGAAGGGAACAGTACAAGTAGCCCAGAGTGAATGGGATTACTAGAACCAAATGCAGGAAAAGGCGGTGTGTGTGTGGGGGGGCGGCGGACGGAGAG